TTTTTTCTGATTGCTTCTTTTGATATCGAGCCAGTTACAACACTGAAAGTCGTTTACTTCTTTTAGATCAGAGCGTTTGTTTCTATTCAGTGTTCAGTGTTGTAAAATCAAAACAAAAGCAATATCAACAGCCAATCGTAGCAAGGGAAGTATCATGAGGAACCAATGAGAACTCGAAGTAAAAATAAGGAATCTGCCTGAAGTGTCGGAAACGCGAGTGACCAAGTTATGATTGGTTTTAGTGTTGAATCTGATTGGTCGAGAAAGTGGGGCGAACTTTCTGGACCGATCAAAGCGCGAAGTAAAGCAAGAACAAATAATTTTTGGAGAGAGCTATACTTTTTAGACTATTTGCTCATGATGATGGTCCACCACTATAAACTTTTACAACGGTTTCCTTTTGTTTCTCCCGTTCAGTTGATCCATGTCAACTCCACACAGTTCTAAATGATGAGGATCGAGACATAGAAAACGATGAAGACGATAAATGTGACAGCCAACTAAACGTTGGCTGGTATCGTTTCCTAAACAAGCCAGGAATACGAATGCCGACTTCGTGTCCACCGACTGACTCAAGATGTGGTACAGCATGGCCAGGTTGGTTAGGAGGAGTTCATCCGACGGTGGAGGACGGAATAGTAACGAGGGCTGTCCACTTTCGAAGACGTACTGACTGTAAAGAACTAACTGTACACGACATTGAAGTGAAGAACTGTTCTTCCTTCTTTGTTTACCTTTTGAGACCAACCGGTAAATGTACGTATCGTTACTGTTACTCCTCTAAGTAACCATTTCATCCCTAAGAGTAACTAGCATGTAATTTCTCCTTACAATATCAGCCCTGAATCGGGCATTAAGGTCAGGAGAATGAAGGCAATGATCAACAACTAAAGAAGCTTTAATTTAGATGGCAAAATCCATTAGCAAGTACCTCAAGAATGTATAGAGAACAGTATGGAGACTATGCACACTGATGTTGAGGTGTAAGCAAAACTGTAAAGACAACTGAACAAAAGCTGGTTTTCAGTAATTGTTTACGTTTTTTATCAAAGGGATCAAAAAATGGTGTGCCTTTGTAAAACTGTAAAGATAAAAATATAGATAAAACGCCAAGGTAGCAGTACATAAAAAATTTAGTTGTAAAAACTTACAAGGTGGTTCGAAAACGTCATTATTTATCAGTTATGTAAAATTCGTTCACCCAAGTGGCAAGACTTTTCGTAGATGTAATAAATTTAAAAGGATTAAATGAATCTCTTTTACGGGTATATTTGCAGTTTTGGCCATGGTCGGCCATGTTAGATTTTGATAACTCGAACCCATAATAGCTCAGTTTTTCAGTTTTCTTTTTCAATTCTTATTCTTGTTCTATCATGTTTCCTCTCTTATTAATACATAGCTTCAGTCTATTGGAACGCTAATCAGTCAATTTAGCCAATTTTACATTGAACTCAATTACGCTGGTACACTCATGATAGCGTAGCTGCAGCGCTCACAGAACCCTTGCAGTGTATCCATAGTAAGAGAATACGGTCGGGTCCATAACGGTTTTAACGCCAGCAAAAAATTAATCAGCTGGAGCTCCGCTTTCCATCTTGGCTTAATCTTTGTTTAAATTGAAAAATACAAGCCTGAAAATAAGCTTCCTCTAGCTAGTTTGTAAAACGGAGATTCGGATAGTTTTGCTTGGTTATAGAAATTATTTCCAGTATAAAAGATCCTTGACGTAGCTCACTTTCGGTAAACACGATAATTAATTTTCCAGAGTTGTGTCATGACCTAAATGTCAGAATTAATATATAGTATTCCTTTTAACTGACAACAGTTAACGATAGCGATGATAAAAAAAAAACAATTAGAATTTACAGAGTAGAAATTACATGAATGTATGATCAAACGCACTTCACTGAAAATAAAAATTCTTGTTGATGATGAAAGCTAATTAAAATTAATATCAAGTTAAAATTAGTAAAAAAGTAACAAAATTTAATAATTCCCTTGAGAGGATAAAATTACTACTAAGGCAACAACCTTAGAGTTCACCTGAAAAGGTAAGTCTTGAGATTACGCTGAAAAATAGATATGGTGTCCAAGCCACTGATGTTACTAGGAAGACTATTCCAAAGGTATGGGGTTGCAAAGGAGAAGACCCTTGTTCTGAGTGTAGGAAACATCTTGCAATTTGGGACCAACAGGAGAAGTTTCTGATCAGACTTTAGTTCGTATTTGGTAGAAATCTTAAAACAAATAAACTTACAAATATAATCAGGTGCTTTATCATGTCTTACTCTGAAGTATTGTAAAAGAATCCTGAATTTCATACGGTACGTACTTAACTGACAGCCAGTGTAGCTGGAAAAATATTGGTGTTTTCAAATTCTAAAGAGAGAGTTTCCTCGACTGACACTAGAAGCGTAAGGTTGGATCTTGACGTGAACCAGCTTGTTGTCCTCTATGATTCCTGCATGTCAACATGTCTCCCGAAAATATTTACATTCTTCTTCCATATGAACGTACGCTTATTTTGTTTAAAAAAAAAAATAGAAATGAGGTATTAACTTATGCGGCATTATATTTTGTACCCGTTAAACGGTTAAATTTGCTTAATAAACAGTTTTTTTAACTTTTCCATGATCGGGGATTATTTTTCAGCCCACACAAGAGGTGTACTGACATTCGCTAAAATCAAGGCCAACTGCACGCTTTGCAGCAACCAATCAGATCTCCCCCAATTGCCTCTTCCGGGTTGATACTGGGGCAAGAACACTCCAGCAACAGACTTTCGTATGCGAGTTAAAACAAACCTCCTCAACCAAGGTAAGAGAACTCCACAGATTAACCTTCAAAACGGATTTGGTAAGTCGACCAGGGCTGTGACTTTCACTTAAGCACACAGTAAATCGCATCCTCTCTAACGCTGTAAAAATTATCTCCAAAATCCTTCCTACGCCGCCAATTTAAAAGCATGAAAATTGAAAGAACAGAATTACATTTATGAGCGCAAACAGCACTAAAACACAGCCGACCCCACTCCCTTGAACAGTCAATTACCAATGCTAAAAAAAATTCAAAATAACTTTATTTGAAATGACGTTCGATTGGGCAATTAAAAATAAATACAGCGTGATTCTATTAATTCAAAAAAGTTTTCTAAAAGTTCTGACACCAACCACTTGTAAACTGGGTCCAATCGAATTTACCTTGTACTAATTGTGCTAGAATAAACAAGATTCTAATTGCGCATTTTTTCTTAACTCTTGAACTTTCAAATCATTTCCATGTGAGTTAGTTTGTTGTCTTTACTATTACATAACATTAGCACCCTCTGAGTCAAAAGTTGAATTTCTCCTTACAATATCATCACCACATCAAGCAGGTAGGTGATGAGAATAACGAAAAATATTAATAACAGGATTATTAGATGATCCAATACCAAATCCTCTGAACTAACATCATAAGAATTGTACGGCAGATAGTAAGGAGAATTACCAATGAGATCTTGGGGGTGAAAGGGTTAAGGGTTAAAATTTCGTGTAAGTAACAAGGCTGAGTGAATAATTATGAAGAAAAGTTAAACGCCGATCAATTCGAAGCTTCTAATTTCCCCCTCCCCCCAGGCAACTCAGTCGTCCGTACTCGGGCGTGGGTAACTTAAGCCCTGTCTAGGTGGGGTGGGAAATTTGAACCGGAAGTGTCAAGTATTCCAGTGGAAAAAACGTGTTTTATCGTATAATATGCATGTATTCTGGGGTAAAGAGTTCACTTTCGCAAGCCTATGGCTAAGAAGAAAACTTGAATAATAAGACCAATTGCTTATCAATGACCAGAAAGTCACAGTCGCCGATCTTGCTTTTCACAAAAAAAATTGACCATCAAAGCCGGGACTTGGGTTGGGTATTTGAGCACAATTTTGGCCTTGGGGGACGGGAATTTAAACGAACCACTTTCCAACTGTTCAAATGCCCAGTAGGGAAGGCGGGGGGGATGTTGAAACTTCAAATTGATCGACGCATGATCGACGCATTAATCTTGGTTCAATTTTATTCTTTAAGTAAGTGGTAAGTAAACCCGACAGATTTCTTGGTTTCGTGGACGTGACTGGACACAACGTTTAATGGCATTCCGATAAAGAACAACTTGCCCTCTTAGGGACCTTGTACCGGGTTGAGCAATCTCGGTCTTCATTCGGACGCCAAACTAATACGCAGTTAGGGAGCTCCCAACAAAACCTGCAGCACTTTTTTATCTTACACATTAACAGGCCTTCCCTTTCAGTTATCACTTCTAACATTGGTCACAATAAAGCCGAAGTAATAAAAAATATCAAAATCCTGGGCTAAAAAAAATCATAGAACTATTTCCTCATGCATCGCAATCGCTAGCGAATGATCACTGCCTTAAATAGAAAAATATTGTTAAATCAATTCTATCCTAATATTTTCCAACCAGTTAATATCGATTGGCCAACCATGAGAGGAGCGACCCTCGGCCAATTCTCGTCAAGAAACACGATTGTTTTCGGATCCCCGAGCAATCGCCGAATACGATCTCGTTCTTGGAATCAAAAGTAGACTGAGAGACGTTTCACGAGATTTCTAACGAAATAAAAAAATTTTCTGCGACATTAAGCTGCAACAATGATACAAATCTGCTCGTGCAACATCGCCTTTTACAAAACTAATTGAAAAGATCCTAAACAAAACATTTTCAATGAAATTTCTTCTATGCTATCAATTTTCAATCAGCCCTCGTTCAAAAGATGTGGTTCAGGCTAAACTTGGTACACCTCATATTCTGTTTGTCACTTGCCACAGACCTACTGATCTATTTTTCAAAAGTTAAGAACTAATTTAATTTTCAGCTACAAAGTTTCCGGAATGAGCAGCCACAAGAAATCATGTCTTAATTGGAAATGTTTCTTCTTAGGAAATAGTTACCTTGGACAATCCCACCAAAGTGAATCTCTACATGCTCATCCAAACATGAATTTTTTTCATGTACTTCACTTCGCTTCTGTGATCTAGCAGTAAATAGAGCTTCTTCTCAGTCCCCAATCGTTTATATAACGATGCAGGTAAATACGCTTGCCACATCGACGGTTCAACAAATAGTTTGAATCACGAAGTACCTACTTTCGTCCGCTCTCGTCTTCTGCTTAGTTGATGACAAGAGCGTAAGCTGATTCCCTTCTCTCCTGCCTAGCTTGCCTTATCCCATCAGATTTAGTGAAGTCCACCTCAGCGTACGCACTTCTGACGGGAGCAGATTTTGGCCCTGGCGACCCGCGCTGACACGAGCTTAAGTCTATGTTCGGAGGTCGTCGGCGCTGACGACTTGGAGACTCAGAAGAGTTGTCGGGATTGCTTAAGTCGAGCATGACGTAATTAAGCTGCTTAATTTCCTCATCTTCTTGAGTTGTGTCTAGTGGTGCGATAGTCACAAACTTTGGCGTCTGTATTCTGGCTGGTTCACTGTCTCTTCTGTAAGAACAAGGTGATTTTCTCCATCTTTGTCCTTCAACTTGAATCTTTCCAGGAGAAAACTCGTCATACTCTTGGGCCTTAACTAGGCCGGTGTCCGGATCGTCATTGACTGAGAAAACGTCATTTATGCTACTTTCGCAGATATCCCCTGGAACAAAGTTTACGTACTCGGGCACATCTACTGCGCTTTTGCTTTTTGTAATACCTCTGAGATCAATGTTTTCGTACGCGCGAGGTTTGTCCAATAAGACAGACTCCAGGCTATGCTTCTTAAAACTGTTGTTCGAGTTCTTGTCATCAGTGATCTTTCCGGGACTAAAGTTAACGTAACTGTGCATATCTTCATACGAAGATGAATCACCTGAGTTGTTGAGACGTTTTAGTGAAGTCGGAATTTCTAGATATTTCCCCCTGTTTGAAAATTCTTCCCCAGGGGTAAAGTTTACGTAATAACCGTTCGAGTCCTCTTTACGTTGTCTCACATTGGGTTTCGGAGACCGCGACCTCGGAGAGTTCATCCCGGGCGAAAAATTTACATAACTAGGAGATTCGCCTGATTCTACAGCGAGGGGACACATCGAAACATAATCCTGGCTTGATCTTCTGCGGGAAGAGGATGGAGACATTTTGATGGCAACGAATTCACGAATGTCTGGTTTGTTTGGCAACGCACTTTCTGTGGTTCTCAGCTGCCTGGGAGACGACGATTTGGACTGCTGTACAAACCCAGCCCGCGGGCTCGAGCTTTGACTCTTCGCAGTCCCGTTTTGTTTGTCACTGTGTTGTTTTCTTAGTGACGTCATGTCCATGTAGCCCCCATCGGGGGCTGTGTGTGTCGTTTTTTTGTTCAGCTGTTCATTGTCGACGATCTTAAATGCTTTCACAGCCTTCGACTTCGTTGCCTCCATATCCACGTAGGAATCACTATTTTTGCGCTAAAAAAAAATCACATAATGGTGACCATTATTGCTCTCTCTTCCCTCACTACTCTGCTAAAGTTTAATATTACCCTCCTCTCCCCCTTCCCCTCCCCCTTCCCCTCCCCAACTATCACCAGCAATCACCTCGTCTGTGTTCTACTGTGAGTTGTCAGTCACGAATGCAAGATAAAGGAAGGACATACCCAGGTGAAGTACTACAGTGACAAGCTTACTTATTTTTTAAGGCGAAAAAAGAAAAAAATCAGCCGACCGATAAACACGTTTAGACAGGCTACCTTCGTTCCCACCTACATTTTTTTCGCACACAGAGAACATAAAGATCCCTCTTGGGTCAGCTCATAGACTTCTTTCCGTCTAATACCTCGGCCGTACAATTCACACCTTTTCGACCGAAACAGACCCATCCTCCACTCCCTGGCGCTGGCTTGGTGAGAAAGACGATCAGAGGAAAACTTGAGACAGCAAAGAGTCTGAGCAAAAGAATTTGATACTTACGCCTCCAGTTACCCCATTCATCGCCATGTAATCCTGCATGCTCGATGTTTCTCCTACATTTTTCGATCCAAGATTCATGTACTCTGTTTAAAAAGGAATCACCATTTGTAACATATTTAAACAAGAAAAATATCTGAGTATTTTAAAAAAAGACAAATCACTGTCGATACCAAATCATCCAGCCTCCCATTCCCCGTTCAGAGGCCAGCGGTCCACCCCTTAGTTCATACTTTTTTTAACAAGTGTTATTTCCAAGCCGAAAAAAAAGTTTTAGAGTTGTGGTCGCAACTGAATTTGTCAACAGCTTAAGTGCCGATGAAAACTAAAAGTAAAAAACAACAAAACTGCTTAGAGCACGAGAAAAACGCAAACGATCAAGTCGTGATTGGTTGAGAAAGTCGAGTTTCCTGAACCAATCACAGAGCGAAGAAAAGCAAAACCAGGCCCTTAATTCCATGTTTTTCCCTTCTTACCCGGTTGGTCATCTTTCTGTTCTAGTGGTTTTGACGGGGGGCGCATCAATACTTTGTCACTGAAGTCTGGATTTTTTTCTTCTTGGTTCTTGACTTGACTTTCCGAGCTCATATTCAAACCTAAGAAAAAACTAAACATTAAACCTTCTTGCAGATTTTGGTAGGGACTCAATGGAGTTTCCCAGAACTATGTAATCATGTAATGAAGGATTCCCATAGCGACATATCCATTAGCTCCTGGCGCTTTACAATAGTTTGCGGGGAACTTTGGCCAGACTGCATGGATTAGTTTACTATTACAAGTCTTCAAGGTCATGCACATCATATCCGGGGCTCTAGGGTCAAGAATGACTACATAATAAAAAGATAAATCCAAATCAACTTGCAGATCGTAATATCCTTAAACTGTACTCAACTTATAGGCTCTCACACAGGAATGGCATTCAAGGAATGGGCATTCAACCCTCGACCCACCCCACCGTTAAGCTGAGCGTTAAACCCTCGACCCACCCCACCCTTAAACTATCATTGCTTAACTCTTTCTTCTCCAACATCAGTTGGTATAGTCTCCATACTGTTCTCTACATATTTTTTTAACGTGCTGAGAAGGGGAATTTGTTTAACAATTAAGAGCTTATTTAGTTGCTGATCATTTCCTTTATTCTTGTAACCTTAATGTGTGATTCAGGGCTGATAATGTAAGGAGAATTGCGATTTTAGTCACTCTTTGGGGTTAAATGGTTAAAAAAAAAAGCTGTTCATCGTTCAACCAGGTGCTTGGAACTCTATAAGAAACAGGAAACCCCAAGAGGGACAGAACTTCAAACCTTTGAAGTTAACGCTTCGATGCTTCAGTTTTCTCCTTAGTCCTAAGCTCGTGACACAACAGATGTGTTCTTTCTTCATTCGACGAACAAGCTTGAAGCTTACTATCTTTCTTATTTCATTCACTCAATGTTTTTAGAAATTCCGTTTGAACCTGTGCAAAACCTGTTACACAATATACCAAAAATCTAAATTTGTGAAAGGGTGCCAATTTGAAGCTACAGTTATAAAACACATTTGACGACGGGCATAATCTAGCACCCAGTGAAGGTAGAAGAGTCAACTCCTCCGCCAAAATTACGGGAAATTAGGAGTAAAGTTATATTCACTCATATTCAGTGACATAATAATTTGAATAGCCGGCGAGCAGCCCCTCGTTGTTATCAGCGGTGCAGTACTCGTTTCTCCGCTCGTGGGAGGATTTGAAACGAGTCTGGCACTAGTGCTAGACTCTTTGCAGGCCTATAGCCAGGCAAAGAAAAGTTCGTGCCAAAGTGCTGATAACAAGTGCCTGCTCGCGGGCTCAGTGATAAAAGACGCAAGTACCTTCCTTTGACCTTCTCCGCGGCCGCAAGCGATTCAACACAGATGACGTTTTGTTCTTGGGACTTTCAAACTCTGTTAAGTTCCGAGTTGAAACTGAGGAGCTCACAGTACGAACCAACGGATTCTGAGAAGTTGGCTCGGTGTCTGAACGACCACGACTGGGTGGATACATGAGAGCTGACACTGGACGAGGTCGAGACTTTCCACGTTTTCCTTCACTATCACAACGTCGCCTAGTGACTGGTGGAATATCAGATGAGGAGATGTTGTGCATGGCGCTGTTAATAGTTAAAAGATAAAGGATTAGTGAAATATGACAAGAACTAAGATTTATCATATAGACTACGTGTAGCCGTACCCTCCCCCGCAAGGTGAAACGGAAGGGAAGGAAAGTCTACGAAAACCTGACACTAATCGTGTTCTGACGTCACTCTAATCTATGCAAAATTATGAGGTTTCACCTTGGGAGGGGGGGGGGGGGGGGGGGGGGGGAGTGCGGCTGCACGCAGGCTATTTATTATACATCAGACTTCCTATGAAAAATCTTATTGGTCGAGAGCACTCAATCAGTATACAATAGCGTTGAACTCTTAACAAATAGATTCCAAGTTTGTTCTTACCACATTTTGACGTCATCTGTGATCTATTACTGAACAGACGCACGGCAACTTGGAATCTATTTGTTTGATATAATTAAGAACTAAAAAATGTTTTAATGATGACGTCATCTATACGTCTGTCCTCCAATAGATCATAAGTGAGAACCAATCAGAATGCGTGCATAACTGAGCTTATTATATAAAACATGATAAATGCACTCTCTGCAGTGGATATTACATTTATCATGTCAAGCTCAAAGTCTACTTCGTTTCTAAGCCCCTCGTCCGTGTAGTGTTCATTCAGAGAGAAACTCAATGCTTTTAAAAACTGTAATATAAAACAATAATTGAATTCAGTTTTCCTATCATATCACGAATTATCAAACTTCACATCTGCGTTATCTGCTTCGGACCTCTCTTTTGATAATTCTTGATGTCATGCTTAACCTCATCCAGTAATTGCTTTTTGCTCACAGGCTTCAAGCACAAATTTTTTCAAATTGTCTCTGCTGCAAATTCTACAAAGCAGAAGCAATGATCACACCTTGGAAAGGTGGTTCAAAATCATGCAGGAAAAGTTGCAATATATCCTTTCACTCCTAAGATCTCATAAGTGATTCTCCTTACTATCCTTGTTATAATTTTTACAATGTTAGTTCAGAGAATTTGGCATCGGATCAACTAATAATCTCCTAATTATATTTTCTTAATTCTCTTTGTGTGTCTGCTTGATATTGTATTGATAATGTAAGGAGAAATTCTGTCTTGGTCATTCATGGGAGTTAAAAGCATAAAGGCAAAACAAGGTAAGTCTTCACACAAACCAAAGCAAGTTCAATGCAGTTTCTGTTCCATGATGGACCTGGGAGTGTTCCCAGTCCCTCAGATGTGTAGTCCATCACAGATTATCCCTAGCATTTCATCAGATTTCATGACCAGTTTGCTTATACCCCAGTGGCAAGTATATCCCTGAGTGAAGGGGGTGGGGAAGCAACTATGTTCTGTTCAAGAAAACAACAAAAGAAATCCTCTTGGGGCTTAACCTGGTTCCATGTCTCCCCAAGTAGGTAAAGTCTGTACTTGAACCAAGTGGCACCAAGTGACAAGGACTATTACTACCCTCCCCTTGCATGGAATGCCAGTCTGATGCAAGGTTACCCCCCCTGCATTTCATCAGGCTTCCCTAAAAATTTTCTCCAACCAATTTGTACTCCTAGGTGAAACAGCACAGTGAGAGTAAAGTGTCTTGCCCAAGAACACAACACAAACACTGATCCCTTCCCCACAACCCCACCCCCTGGTCTCAAACCCAGAACCCAGCATCTCCCTGATTATTCAGCATATGTTTACAAGCTAATGAAAACAATTTACCTCAATATAGCTTCATGCATGTTCTGTGCAATAACTTGATCATCAACCTGGATCCACAGCTCACCAGCCCCAGTGGCTGCAGACCTCCCAAGCTCCATAAAGAAAAAACAGTCTGTATGGCCACAGCGTCTAATATTGACCAGCTGCACCTCTATGGCTGGTTCTTTGGTGTCCTTTTTAACCAGTGCTAAGTTGCGAGTTGATAACTGAAGGTCATACAGACCAGCTAGGTTCTTGCTAGTTCCCAATCCCCTTGGTTTCACAGCGACAGGCCAGGTTGATACTAAAGGATTTAACAGAGTAAAGGTGACATGTAGATGTTACTTGGGACACCACAGTCTCATGAAGATGGGTTAAAAAGAGCTCCATCTTTCAGCAGCTGTCCTTCATTAAGATGGGCACAGAGTGATTAATTAAGTTTACAACCTGATGGATCTTAATTAAATGTCATATCTTAATCCCTTACATCCTAACATCAGTATGCAAACTCTCCACACTATGCTCTATAATTATATTTTCTAAGGTGCTGACAGAGAGAATTTGTTTAACAGTCAAGAGCTTCTTTAGTTGATGATCATTTCCTTAATTCTCATGACCTAAATGTGTGATTTTGGAATGACATTGTAAGGAGAAATCAGGTGGGAATCACTCTTAGGGGTTAAAAAGGTTAACAGAGTTTTTTGTGATATAAAAAAATCTGGAGTATTTCCTTCCCCCGAGAAGGAACACTTGTCCATCACAGAAAGCCCCCTGCCCCCACCCCCTGTAACACTACACCATATACTGGACCAGACCTCATCAATTTGAACAGGGTGTGCTATCCACTGGATAGCCGCTGATCTGGAAGAAGCTCTTGATTGTTGAACAAATTCTCCTTTTCAGCACCATAGGAAGTAAATAGAGAACAGTATGGAGCATATGCATACTGGAAATTTCTTTTTTTTTACTCCTAAAGAAACTGAAGTTAATCAGCCCACTCAGCTGGAGCTAATCTTAATTTTGTTTGCAAGAAGCCTCTGGGAGTAGTGCTACTCTTTATGGCTGTAGGCTAGACTATGATAACATAAACTTCAGCCTTTAACTTCCAGAAGTAATGAACATGTAACTTCTCCATATAATATCCAAACATTATTTAGCACACAGGTAACAAAAATACTCAAACTTATTGGGTGGAAGTTTTTATCTTGATCTGATGTCAAATTTCTTTTACCAATTTACAAGGAAATATGCAGCAGTCAAAGGCAGAAATTAGCGATCAGATCTTGGAGGTATAAGAATTTCCTGATCTGCCAACCCCTGAAAATATTGAACCAGGAGACAATTTTTTTTTAAAAATTTTTCAAAACAGCTTGATTTAATTTGGGTTAAGATTTCTCATTTTACTTTCGTCTAGGAGTTTTAGTCAAATTAACAGGTTATCTGGATTATTCATTGATGAACTCTCCTTCATAAACTGAACCAAGAGAGTATAGACATCCCATGCATCAATCAAACATCACGCCAAATTTTGCCTTACTACTTCTAATGACAATTTTTAGAAACTGTTTCAGTCTCCATGGTTAAGTTTAGTCAAATATTAATTGATAAGCTTTTCCATTTAAAAATGTAAACCTGCAAATTTTTTTGAGAAGATTTGATGTATACTCTCCTTAAAATTTTCCTTTCAAAAGCCTGTCACCTCCACCCTCCCCCAAATACATAATAGGAAATACCATTAATGAATAATTAAAGGTTTCTTAAACAGCTGGTGTACCATGCTTGCCAGACCAAAATAAGACTTTTGACAAAACCAGTCCTTTTTTATTTTTGGAACCTCAACAGATGGGTGAATACGTCAATATCACTTTGCATATTTTTTTTTGCCGATTTGTGCAAAGAGGCATTATCATGATAATATAAATTTGTTCTGTCGTCTCACAACAAAGTCAGTAAATGTAGATCGCAACATTTCCAGCTACCACCATGAATAACTACCTATTTCATAATAAACATACTCATGTTAAGTGTTGTCAGGGAAAAGACAGAAAAGAGTCCTCTGTTAATTTCAATTTAGAAGTCACTATAATGCAGACCTTATTTCTTTTGAATAAGTAAAATTGAAATTTCCTGCATTGTTTTTTTTTTCAAGAAGCTATAGCAAACAAGAAAAACACCTGTACAAAGAAAAGATGTTGGCTTTGTAACCACACACAGGATTTCCAGAAAAATACCATATTTCAGAAAATAATTATTTGGCTTGCAATGCAATGAACCCTTTAACTCTAAAGATCTCATTAGCTATTCTCATTACTGTCTGTTATGCAGTTCATGTCATGTTTGTTTGGAGAATTTGTTATTGGGTCAACTTATAATCCCCTAATTGATATTTTTCTTTATTCTCATCACTTGTCGGCTTAATATTGCATTGATGCTGTTAGGAGAAATTCTCAGTTGATCACTCATGGAGGTTTAAGGGTTAACGCCTGAACTACAGGAAACTGTTTAATCATAATTAACTTGTATATATTTTCAGGGAGAGGGGGTTGAATGTAAGTACAAGCTAGGATTATGACATAACTAAAGTTTTTCATTTTATACATTTCTAGTGAAAAGCTTTTGAAAAAAGTGAATTATAATCATTCGAAAAGTTGTCATAAATATCCTCACCCTTTCCCGGGTAAAAAATGTTTCAACCCCCACCTGGTAAATGGGTCACAACGGGTAATAAACATGCAAAGGAGCAAATCCATAATAACAATGATTTCTAATTGCATGATTCCATGCTGTGTTGTCATCAAAGAAATCACTTACCAGATGCATTAAAGATCTCATCTTTTCTCTTCTCTATGTTCATTATTTTCATCCAAGCGTTCAATTCGTCCTCCGATTCCGCGATTAAGCCAAAAACATCTTCCCGTGTGTACAGAGCAAACACCAATTTGTGCTTAGAGTCCTCTTTCTTTGCGATGTTTAGGCAGCTTGCTAGGTAGATCACTCGCTTTGGTGGGCCTTTTGAGCGGAATTTCTTCTCGCTCTCGAAGTATTCTAGTCGGGATTTGCCTTTTCTTGGCGACGAACGAAGAACGAAAAATCGCTTTTTCAGCGTCTGTTGAAAAATAACACACGATCAAAGAACTTTGTCACAAATACTTGTCACGTATTTGTAAGCGCGGTTGTTGCTGTGAACATTTCCTGCGCTGTAAAATTACGATCTGGAGAAAAAAATTTTCAAAAATTCGAGGAAAAAATTATGGCATGTATAACTAATCAGTAATACCAATCAACAAAGCACGGATTTGCATTCGCATCAACGCGTTTAATTTCCTTACAAAGAAAAATGACATTGTCTTTCAATTTCGTTCACATGGGCACTTGAATTCGCACTGAAAACAATGGGTGAGTTTAACAAGTTTTAGGTCCCGATCGTAATAAATAAATAGGAAAAACATTTTCAAAAATGAAACATTGAAAACACTGACGCAAAACTGTAAACGATTTAGACCCGCACACAAAAGACAAAGGCAAGCTTTTAAGCTCACAAATCTCCTTAAGAGAGGGCATACAAGCGATGTAATTACCCCATAACGAAAATCGTGTAGTAATGTTTCAATTTATGCAAGGCTTTAAACAATCAAGATTCTCTTACAGATCTAGATAACGATGTATCATATAAACTTCACCATTATCAACAGAAAATCGTTCTCGAGAACTCAAAATTCGTTCAGAATGAAAAGCTTAGACTACGTCTAAACATGCTTGAGTTTATTGGGCAAGAGTGCAAATTAGACTGTATAAACAATAAAAAGCATTCAAGGAAAACTAACAGGACAGACCCCTGGTTGAGGTTCACAACTGATTGCAAAATGCCGCAGAAAATAACAAAAATACTAAATAACATTCAAACATTCAGCGTTTACTGCTTACGATCGACCCAAACTTGAGCCAATATTTGCAAATTACAGCGAAAAGAAACTGCCGATCGAAGAATCTATTGCAACGATTGAGCGCGCACATTTATCAACGAGATCTTTACCTTCAGTCTCCGAAGATGTCCTTCTTTTACAATATCTCCATCGTCCATAATGTCTGATTTCCGGATAACCATAGAAAGCGATCGCCAGATTCCAAAAAGTATCCTTGTGCCCTTGGACTTTGACGACACTTCGCGCGCTCCAAATAAATGGTAAGATTTCGAGGATTTCGAAGATTTCCAACTGGTTCGCTCGTAGCAACGTCACCCCCAGGCACTAGATGTCATTTTCGATCTAGTATTTGTCATGCTTCATAATAAAGTTGTTCTTCTTAGAGTTGGACAAAAGTGCTTGAAAGGCAATTATCTGAAAAAGAAGTCTTTGTGAAACCCCATTGCATTTTTACGACTCAAGTGTTATCTCTCTTGTGGCAAATCGGTACCAGTCTCCACCAAGTGGTGTGGGAAGCGATATGAGAGAGTGCGTAGCGTGATAATATTTCGTGATCCGATGTGATAACAACGGTCTTAAAACGAGAAAGAATTTATTCCTCAGGAAGTACCAGAGGTGCTATTTTTTTTATTTGTGCTCATTTTTTTTTAATAATCGTGTGCAAATCTGACAAAGGAATTGATGACTTATGGACGTGGACGTGCTGACAACATAAACTCGCTCTAAGCGGCTAGGTGTAATTATGATGGAATAGAAACCTTCTTTTAGTTAATTTGCTTCTTTGTTGTTCACTAGAAGGCGACAATAATTGTTTTGACAAACTCTTAGCTTCCATTTCATTTTTATTTTCCCTCCTTCAAAAACAACAATAACATTTTAAATCGTAACAACGGCATCTGAAAAATTTCATCCTTCGTAATTTCATTGACCGTGAAAAATGGAAATTTCTGATGTCCAATGTACATTTTTCTGGATGTTATTTCGTAAAGTTTAATGTAGAAAATATTGAAACTTTCCAACTCACCAATAAATCTTTTGTTTTTTTGTATGGCTGATTTTCAAGCGCGAATGTCATCACACATGGAGGGTGTGCTTCTTCCTCAAACCGGTAAATATTTTAAACAAAAAAAAGAGTTGACCGGAAACTTTACAGCTTGTCAATACATTTCAATCTTAAATTAAGGAACAAGAAACCAGCCTCGAGGCACCTTGCAAACTGAACTCAGAAAAACACTATAATTAATCCACCTCTAACTTTTTTTTTAACTGAAGGAAAAAATGCTTTATGAGACGTACAGGTGAGTTTGGTTCCCCTACAAAGAAGGGGAAAAAAATAATACCTTAAAAAACCACTTCTCAGACGTTATGTAAAACAGTTCAACAGAGTCGAGTACTTCAAGTAGGGCATAATATCTTTGATCTAGTTGTTTACTTTTCCTTCTGCCAGTATCTATGACAATGCAAGACTCTTATGTATCAAATAAGCACAGTTACTGTTATCGGAAATTTGTATGTTGATGCAGAAGAATATTATTTTTCACACAAAAGATTTCGTGTATGAGAACAGCTGGGATTTAATTGTCCATTTCTGTTTCGAGTGTGCATGGCTCAGGAACAAAATTTGGTCCGAATTAACTTACCATGTTGACGGTCTGAACCAATAGCGAGAAGTCATTAAATTTATTCTTCCATACCGAAACCTAGAAAAGGCTGAAACATTTAAACGCATGATTTCTTCGCCATCAAAAGATGCATTAGGGCTGCCTAGGGGTGCCAAATTAAATTTCGATCGAATTCAAAGCAGAACTTTAATTATTACTAACGAGAAACCTAACGACGTTTCCAGAAAGTGACACAGTTCTTTACACGAAAATACGGTCCGGGCTTTCTGGAAGCACTTTCTCCTTTATTTACCTGTGTCGGTTTCAATACGAACATACTTGCTAATGATTTAAACCCACGCTTCTTTTTTATCGTGATGTTTGTTTACTGGGAGAGTTTTAAGTATGCTAATAGCGAAAATTGAAACGTACGTCACACGAGATATCCGCTTTCGACCAAAACATGCAACAATGGCCAACATTACGAGATTTAAAGATAAATAAAAATAGCAAAAAAAATTGCAAGGCTAAATGTTATCTACAAACTGCTTTGCATTAGAGAATTTCCTAACGCTAGCATATTAAAAGAGACAACTCACGTTTTTTTGGCTCATACGAGAAGATAAGTCTTCAGGCGTGCAACTTTAATCCATCTGTAATTCATCCTCGTTCTATTTCAGTTAATCATATCTCCAAAATATCTCACCCACCAATCAACTTTTAATTCAAAGGTTTCGTCTCACTAGAGGATACTACTATTATGCTGTAAAGTTACTTTAGTCATGGTCTGACCGAAAAACAGAGAACTGGAGGACTTGTGTGTATTAGTTCACTCCTATTGGTATTACCGATCAAAAAACACCGATTTTTATGGAAAACAAGTTGATAGGGGCAATAAGGTAGTATATTAATAAATAACATATCCAATATTGAAATTAAAAATTCCGGTTATGATTTAACGTGAGAGGAACTGGGACAAATTTGCAAGGAAAAGTACAAGATCCTTGTATGAAGAGTACAAAATTCTTTAAAGTTCCGTTTTCGCAGCAGTTCGCAACGTTTTTTATTCATTCTCGCAAAACAATACCGAGAGGTCAGCCTGGTCCGGTGGTTACCAGAGAAAGGAAGACCAATCTACGCAATTTAAGTTTTCCTTTGTCGGGTCCGCTCTTGTTCCTTTCCCTTCAGGGGCTGAAGTAAAATCACTATGCAAAATGACCAGAAATGACCTTAAAATTGATGAACCATTCTACAGTGAAGTCGTTAAAGATGCGTTTCGAGCACGTATCAAAATAGAGAAGAAAAATTAACCAACGAAAAAGATGTTTCAAACTTGACCCCAAGTTGTCTCAATCTGAAATATCTTTAAGATGAACAAGAGAGATACTGACCAGAATAAGATATTAGGATATTCGGTTTAAAAGTGGAAAAATATTAATTGCTACAGACTTCCGCTTTCAAGATTCTGCGCACTAATTCCCTTCCACAAAGTTGTATTCGTGTACCGTCGACTGTTCAGTTCGTTTCGTCGACGAAGTTCAAGCCAACTCATTTTTAACGCAATCGATGACCTACTGCTGGTGCCCACGGTTTTCTATGTAAAGCCATACTGAACCTGAAATGAGCATAGAGTTTATCATAGACCGAGTTACAACTTCCAAAACACGTAGCCGATTATGATTGGAGAATATTAAGCGGTAACTCCTTGGACGGCTTCCGAAGGTTCCACGAAAAGGCGCCGGAAACGTCGCTAATTCCCCGCCTTCACTTTTTTTTGCCCGGTTTTCCTTTTACGCCTTTTCCCTTCTGTGTTCCTCTATTTTGCCGCTGCATAGTTTGTTGCTTCCTGTGTCGAGCTTTAAGTATTTGTTCCTTGGATTTTAGTTCGTTCCCACGCGGTTTGAAGCTTTTCCCCGCCACTCCTTTCCTGTTGGCCGAGTATTTGCTTCCACCGTTACCTAAAGCGGGAAAAAGAATTACAAAAACCAAAATATACATCAAAACCATCGCCCCCTCGACAAGAAACTCCTTAGGATATCACACTAATGAGGAACAGCCTGAAATGCAGTTCCGTCTCTGCCCTGAGAATTCAGTCGCCCAAAATGACGGTAGCTCAGAGCAATGCATATGCTTGGAAGAAAAGGAAAAAAAAAACAGTCGAAGTCTTTGAGGTCGTTTTTACCTTTCTTGCCTCTTCTATATTCCGGTCTCGCTCCATTCTCCTCACGATCTTCGGATCCGGGAACGTCCATCTTGTGTCTTTGTAACCAGTCCCGGTAGCTAATTATGATCGTTAAAGAGGTGAACAGAAAATCTTTAACTTCTTCAAAAATGGTGTCATTGCGGCTTATCTGGCGCTGACTAGCAATAAAGCAAGGCGGTTTTTAACGCGGTAGTCGACTGAGGAGCCGCCTTTTCGAACACATCAAAACAGGGAAGAAGATAAATCTCTCTTTCCTTTACATTCACTTTTGACACTGCGCGTGCATTGCCCCGCTGCTTGTAATAGGATCATTATTTCGAAAACAAGAAGACCCTTCATTGAGAGAAGATCATAGCGTAAAAAGTCATAATAATTTGGTACGACAGAGAACATCAATAAAAGGTTCAAAAAGAGCAAAATGAGAGAGGATGATTAAGACTACTATGGAGTGCAAATATGAAAATTGAAAAATTCTAAGCTTGACTTTCCAGGGATCAGAGTGCTTCCATTGGCGTTTGAAGGATACATGTTTTTTCTGTAGGAAGCTGGAATCCCAATGCCACTTTCAGTTCGGATTTTCTTTACATTTCCGTCCTCACCAACGAAATTTTTCCTTTTACGATCCCTGTAAAGAAAACGAAAGATATTTTCTTTCCTTTCAGTCAGCCATATTGTACTCATAACACTTCTAAAACTTGGGTGTTCTATAAAACAATATGCCCTAGCTGAAATATCACTTTATTTTCATCACCTGTCTGCCTGAAAGTATGGTAAAATCATCATTAAAAATTGTTTCGTGAATAAAGGGGTAAGTTTCTGAGGAAACTGTGGTGCCACGTTGGTTGGGGAGTATAACAAGATCATTTACTTTTATCAAATGAGTTGAAAATGTAAATTTGCCACCGTAAAGAGTTTCTTCGTCAGAGTGAATTCGCTCTGACGAAGGGCTAACGCTTGAAACGCCAGCTCAGAAACTCTTTGCGGTGGTCAATCTGCATCATCAATTCAGTTGATAAAACCAAATTAAATTGTGTAATGGTTTGGTGTAAAAGGGTTATAAATCCAAAGAAGAAAACGCTGAAGCTCCTTAAAATAAAGAAGGAAGAATATGGAGGAATATATTCTCAGTTTTCAACAGTTTTGCCCCTTAGAGAAAACATGTTTTGTTCGACGCACTGATCTTGTTCTTTTGGTCTTGGCAAGAGGTATTTGAATCCAGAGGAATATGTTATTGTCGTTAAGGCTTTCGGTCATTTCGCCAACATGTCAACTTGCCGACATTCCAATTCACCAACAATCAAATCGCCGAAACCTTTGATCAACTCGCACACACCATTGTTCAACTTGCCGACAACGTCGATCAGCGAAGGCGGAGTAACCAAAGGCCACTGTGGCGAGTAGGCCAAAGGTGTCAGCAAAGTGACCGAGTGACGTCCTCAATATTTACCATTTTTTGATTGTCTTAGCCTGTCGCATTCCTTCAGCTTCGTCAGCTTGTATATCCATAACAGCGCCAGATACGTCCTTTTCAAACGACTTCAAGCCAAGCCTGGAAAGGAACGGTCATTGATTCAATTTTTCCTCACTATGACAGAATAGTAGTAGTCTTATACTTAGCGTTACGGACTCCACATCGGAAGGTCCCATATCAGGAACCATGTCAAGGACCAACCTCGTTCCCAAGGATAGGACGTGAAAAAGAGAGACTCTAAGAACGAGGTTGGTCAGTGTTGTGTTAATCAGCCTGGTGAACAGATTACATTATTTTAGAGCGCAGGTTAGCAAGAAACGATAGCAGAGACGAGTGCTGCGTGACTCTCGCGCGACAAACGCGTGGAACGTGTCTTGCACTTCATTCCTTTCTCGCTATCTCCTTACACTAGCCTCTGCTCGCCTGAAAGATGCACACGCACACACACAAAAAAAAAAAACAAAAAAAAAAACGAAAAGCAAGATAACAACAGTCCAGCAAACTACGTGTTTCTTGGGTAATGATTGTGATGAGTTATTGTTGTAAATAAAAGCTTCCAGAAATCTCCAGACTGCTTAGTCATGCTGACTTGCATACCATAGAACTTTCCAGAAAATTTCATCGAATCACGCAGTTATTAATTAATACTACAAAAATAGTTCTTTTTTTTTTCGTAAGCTTCTGGAAGGTTTCAGAACACTTTGTGAATATATTTAAAGATTCACTTATGTAGTAGTAGTTAGACTGTTTTGAAAGTTATACCGAGAGAAGGAATTTGGAGACAGCAGTGAGATTGTGTCAGTGGTGAGCTTGGATATAAACTGCGGTGGGCTTAATTAAGCTAATTAACGATAAGCATCGTACCGCTTTTAGGAGTCGCTCTTTGTTAAGAACATTACTCGCTGTTTATAAAGCAGTTGAGTTTGTGGGATTGTAGTGTTTTTCTGTCGGTTAGATCACACCGTAACAGATGAAAGAAGCTAAACCTCGGCGTTTCTCAGTCAGAGTAAAAAGAAGAAAAAATAGTTACGACTGTCTTGATGGCTATGGGCTCTTGGGTGAAACACCTCAAGCTTGACCTTGACCTTGCAACAACTCACCCCAGTCCTTTCTCTCCGTGGTGATCCGCAGCGGTATGGGGAATGTAATTCTCGTCTCTGAAATTTTTGACAAGGCCTGACAACAGAAAGAGACAGTATTTAGAACTGTTATAGCAAAATAAACCATATTGAACATAATGCTTTTACAAACAGTTGCGAACCAATTACCTTCAGGATCAAACTTGGATCCTTTATGCTTCTTTTTCTGGCTAGGATCAAACACAGTTGCGAAAACTCCCTTGAAAAAGAAAAAAAAGGGAATGGGAAGATGCAAGCAGAATCAGAAAGACAATGCACATAGAAATAAAATACTAGTCTAGAAAAGGAAAAGGAGTAACGCCTTAAAAATTGGTGGTCAATCAAGCAAATATTAGCCTCCATTGGCCTTCAACACGAGTCATGGAGGAGCTGTAAAAAACATTTTAAACAACAAATGAAAAGTGTCCGCAGGTTGCTCGAAGACTCTTGTCGAACAAACTGAGCTGGACCTTAATGGACATTCTTCATTTGGTAATCTTATAAAGATTCGTTTTGGCTGGGTAATGTTTCAGCCGAGATTCTGTAAAAAATCTTACAGACTTGTACACATACAATCATCGGTAAATATGACCACACTCAGACCGTCATTTCTACGATAATGTTAGTTGTACGGGCACGAAAAATTGCATTGGGTTCAATTCTATGTCATGCGCTTTCTTTGCTCTTGTAACATTTTCCTTCTAGTCAACATCTTATTTTTACCCTTTCTTACTCAATGGTCTGCTCGTATTTACTCACTTGGATTTCATCTGTAGTTGGACCGGTCTCCTCGGGCTCTTGTTCGGCACCACCACCCCTCCCCTGATCAGAGGTCAAATCATCTAGTTTCAGCCGCCGAGCTCTTTGAATTACGTCACTGTGACGTTTTCTGCAAGCAGTCAAACCGAAGGGGAAAAAGAGGTTTGAAATGCACAGGTTGTGTGCGTGTGAATCTCACAAGGATTACTTCTCTATTTCGAGTTTGAGTTTCGCATTACGGCCCCTTATGACCAAAATTTCACAACTATTTCAGAAAGAAATGTGTAGAAGCTAGAAAGGAGAAACGGAAACGGCTCTTGAAAGCAAAAGGATCAATCACTTTCAAAATCAGACTCACCGTTTTGACATCATAATGGATTGTGCCGTAGATTTTGATGTGGAACCAATCTCAAAAATAGTCTACAGAGGAGATACAATAAGACATAACACCGAAAAATATCATACTGTTGTATTAATCCCAAGAATAAAATCTTTCCATCATTCTGTTTCTTAGCTAAACTTAACATTTGAAAGACTACGGAAACCGTAATCCGTTAAACCCTAAGAGTGACTAGCATCTAATTTCTCCTTACAATATCAACCCCAAAGTCACACATGTAGGTCACAAGAAAAAAGGAAACGATCGCCAGTGATAGAAGTTCTAAATTGTTTAACAAATTCTCCTCGTCAGCACCTTAGGAAGTGTATTGAGAACAGTATGGAGAATGTGTATACTGATGTTAGGGTGTAGAGGGTTAATCCGTTGATCTCTTTGAGTGACTAACATCGAATTTCTTGCGCTTTCAGAGAAACAATAATTTGACAAATACATATGAAAAGTCTTTCACCTGCTTAGGTCTAAAGTTCTTCACACCATCCAAAATGTCGACCTTGGTAGATGTCGCCTCTTTGGAGGATAACTCTACAAAAGGTAGTTTGCAAAAACCACAAAAAATAATCGTTGCTACTTTCCACCACAATTATTCAGTTATATGAATTTACTTTCACTCGTGACCATAAAAACCTCGTTAATCCCTAACAGTGACCAGCATCTAATTTCTCTATACATTATCACTACTGAATCAAATATCAAGGTTATGAAAATAAAGGAAATAACCAGCCAACTCAAAAGCTGTTGATTGTTGAACTAATTCTCCTGGTCAGTGCCATAGCGGTCTATAGATAACAGTAAGGAGAAGACGCATATTGATGTTAGAGTGTCATGGGGTTAAAGCTTAAGTAGAATATAACAAACGAGGACGCTCACTGAATAAAGGATGACTAGAAAGCGCGCCAGTATCAATCTTTTTCGCCCTCTTCACAGATTCTGATGAAGCATTCGGCCTGGATTTGATGTACTGCTTGTATCCATTAGCAGCAACTTGTCGAAGAGAAACCTGAAGATAACAAAGATAAAAAGCAATTACTTTTTACATTCTAAACAGCTCTGGACACCGAGTTATTCAGACACCTCGACTGCCCTCTCCTTGTTTAAAAATGCCCCTCAGAACTATCCCAAAGAAATGGTCCGTGCAAGGTGAGCGGCAATCAAATTGAATGCAGAAAAGAAGCGTAAGAAACAATTTCAAATTTCGATGGGGTCATACACGTGTCTCCCCCAAACTAGTCGGGCGTGGCTACTACCAACTGAGCTACAGAGACACATGCAAGGAGCAGTGAAAATTTTAATGAGCTCTTCGTTCCCGCAGAAGTCACTGGGGACCTTTAGCAGTTAGGACGACAACGCCAAGTAAGACGTCGATTTTAAGAAAAATAAATATTTTTAGTTAAAATCTCGCGAATAAGGAGTGTGTTTACCATCTCTTACGGCGGCACAAGCTCACCTCAGCATAACGTTTGAGAGCGGCGTTGAGTTTCAAATAAAAACTTAAATAATTTGCCTTCGCGGTTTCCTTTCTCAGACCACGAAAAAATTGATGATTTCACGTTGTTATTTTGCAGAGGACAACTAGGAAATGCGTGCGGTTTTAAAACGCATGTGATGAGCTATTGTTCTGCTCATTAGATCTTTTGTTTTGCCCCGTCCTCGTTGCCCTCGCCGTCGTGGTTTGCTAAAGGTCCCCTGTTCCACCGGCCGCTGACCGGCGTGCGAGTCTGGTTATCAACGAGCAATCGTAATAATCAGCGGTCATAATGATCAGCACAATCCTTTTTGCAAAAGTATCGCGTGAGTAATCAGCGCTTAACAGTCAAGAAAGTCGTGCAAATGTTCTTCATCCATTACTCATCTGTCATCGATATTAATGAACCAACAAATATCAGTGACATCCAGAATACTAACCAAGTCATGTGATTTGTCGTGCGCCGTTTTCATAAAATTATCTTCGTCATCTACGAGCAGCTGAGGAACCGTACCTATAAGCCCATCATCTTGAGCCTGCGAGTCCTTTCCAGCAAACTTTAGCGGTCGACCAAGGAAAAGATGAAGATCCACCATATGGGCTAGCTATGGAGCGAAAACAAATATAATAAGGGCAGGTTCCTGATAAGATTCATCACGCGACCCTTCCCAAATCTACCCCGCTTTTACACGGCTCCGCTTCCATCGCGTCGTTTATTATCGCGCTTCGTTTTAAAAAATCCATGCCTGGAATAGGCTATGATTATTACAAAAGCAAGAAGAATGGTACATTAACAAGTCTCTTCTCGACCCAATTTACCGCCTGGGCGCCGAAAGGAAACTGGGGCGAGGAGAAAACCACCAGTTACGTTTTACGATTTAAGACTACCCCTGTGTTTTGCCAGACCAAATTTTCGCCTTCGCGGAGTTCAGAAATAAACGTCGAGAACAAACTTTTGCAATTTTTCGTGAAGGAAAACATGGGCTAAAACTCTATATATTCATCCTTTACTGACCATTGCGTTGCAAAAAAACTCTCCAAATACTGAATTGTCAAGAAGGTGATGCCTACTACTTAAAAACACTGACTCAAAACACATTATAACAAATAAACCCTACTAGTCTCCCTGTTTACTTCCTTGGGGCTTTTATTGAAATAAAAAATAAATTAATTTTTTTCGCTTGCGATAACAAATCAAATGCATATCGCGAAATCCGCAAAATTAAAACCTGTGTGATATTCATTCCACGTGGTTAACTCTAAACAATGCAATTAAAAGATCAGAGGGATATTCGCGAATATACATGTGGGTTCCTAGCTCGATTTATTTCGCTATCGAGCTGGATAAGACCAGCCACTAATATTTTGTGTAGAGCGTTTCACATCAGAGGCAAAAAATTCGTGAGTACACCTCGAATACTGAATACCGCTGACTCTGTAACAAGATCTGCCCACTCAGAGATAAGTTGCTTTGCGCTTTACTGTACATTATTCACTGTGTTCCTAGAATTTAAGAGAATCTCGAATACCTCGTCGCAGTTATGGAGCCACAAGCATGTATGAGCAGAAGGAAACATCAACAACAGCAAGACATGCTTCGCACTATGAATTCATTCAGGAAATCACAAACATTTTGCGATGTGATTCTCGTCGTCGAAAATCGAAAGCTGCCGGCACACAGAGTAGTTCTAGCAGCGAGTAGTTCTTTCTTCAAAGCTTCCTTTACGTCTGAGTTGACTCAGGAAAAATCCAGTGATGAACTCGATGTGAACCTGTCGGAACATTTTAATCCCGACAGTATCGAAGAACTTTTGAATTTTGTTTACACCGGGGAATGCGGAGTTTCGGAGGAGAATGCCGAAGACCTTTTGGTCATTGCCGACTATTTCGATATTCCTAGCCTAAAAGAAACTTGTGCGGAGTTCTTGATGATAAGCCTCAAACCGTCCAACTGTTTATGGATTCAGATTTTTGCCGAAAGATACAACCATGAATTGTTAAACGAAGCCGCCACTGAATACATTTGCAATCATCTTTCATCTATTTGGAAAACAAATGAATTCTTAGGTTTGGATTTTATCGAGTTGGAAGAGCTTATTCGTGGGAAAAGACTCGTAATCAAGACACAGAAAGGTGAAGAAGAAGTGTTCGAAGGAATAAAGGCTTGGATAACACACGATACGGAAAACAGAGAGCATTTCTTTGAAGATCTTTTCCGCCATGTTCGCTTGTCGGCCATGTCGACTCAATTTATCTCCGAATTCATCGAGCGTGACGTACTTGTCACGCGAAGTCACGATGCTCAAAGTTTGGCCACAGCAGCATTACGTGTCCCGGATGAAGAGCGTGACGAGCCTCGTGGTGTCACGGAGAGTGTTGTGCTTCTCAGCAAAAACGGCTGTACTTCTTGTTTCACTCCAGCCACGGGAATGTGGTATGACTTGGCCCGACTGCCGAGCTTCAACGAGGCTAGAGCAATAACAATTTGCGAAGGACATCTGTTCGCCATTGGTTGGGAAGATGATCGCTTGACGATCGAAAAATTCGACCTGCAGAAAAACATGTGGTCTGAAGTACTATCGCGTTCGACCAACCTGCCAATGGCAGCTGTTAGTGTAGAAGACAGTATATTTCTTCTCAAGGAAAATGGCGTGACCCGTTTTAAGCCAAGAGACCACTCATGGGAAGATATGGCCTCAATGGACTCCTTGCGACGGGGCTTGTGTGCGGTGTCGCTAGGAGGCCTCGTTTACGCGATAGGGGGCCACGATGGACTTAGGCAGCTAGGGCTCAATAGCGTGGAGCGGTATGACCCTCAAAACGACCAATGGGAATACGTGTCCTCTATGGACGAAAGACGCGCCTTCGCAAGTGCGACTGTGATGGACAACAAAATCTTTGTGGTAGGAGGTACTGGAGATAACTTTCTACCGCTACAGAATTGTGAGCTGTATGATCCTGTAACGGATACGTGGAGCCTTCTTTCCGCAGAGTTGTGCGTTCCTCGGTCACAAGCTGCTATCGGCAAAGCAAAGAGAAAGATCTTCGTGTTCGGAGGAACTTACAGCAATGGCATCGTGGAGTACTTTGACAGAGACAACGAAGAATGGATAGAAATCGGAAAGATGCCATCCACATTGTCTTACAATCACGCATGCGTCACGTGGTTACCGAAGGCACTGTTTAAACAACTGAAAGGCAGTAAGCTGCTCTGTGATCAACAGAACGGATAGATACTCAACAGCTTAAATTGGCTGATGTAAGGACAGCACAACTTCTTAACCCTTCTGACCGTAGGAGAGACCAGCATCTAATTTCTCATTGCAGTAATACAGCTCAATTATTCACTTAGATCATGAGAATAAAGGAAATGAACGTCAACCTAAGAAGCTCTGATTGTTAAACGATTTCTCCTTGTTAGTACCAAAGAAAATGTATTGGAAAGGGTATGAAGAATATGGTTTCTGATGTTCGTGTGTAAAAGGTTAATATGCTGGGGTAATCTTGTAAAATTTAGGTAGCTATTTACAAAAGTTTTTTTTGAGCATGGTATAGCTCAAGCCAGGTGGTTGTCATTTTTTCAAAATATCGAAAAGGGTTATATACTGTTCTCTCTGTCTTGACCTCGTTTGTAAATAAGATTAATTTAGATCCGATCTAATCGCTATTTGTTTCATAATGTCATCAACTCCGACGACGGCGCTTGTTGAATTTTCGCCCCTGAAGATGTAGCTCCCTTTCGAGGACGGCGATTGTTCAAGGCCTACGATCATCCAAGGCGTGAAATTGCGCCTAATACAGGCGCCAATGCGACTAAATTTTTCACTTTGGCGACCAAATCCTGAAAGTTAGTCGCCAAATTGGCGACTACAACGTTTCATCATAACCTTACTAAGAGATATAGTGAATTAAATAAATTTGCAAAGATAAATCCGCGGCAAACTTCCTCGTTAAGTTTGTTTCCAAAACGTAGCACATGCATCTCGATCGATAACTAGACGCCATCTTGGATTTAGATGAGCCTGAAAGTTGTATATCATACATCCTAGCGTCCACTTTGTAGCACGTTAAAGATCTTTTCCCTAACTTAATTTTGGAGAGTTCGGCTATCTAGGACGCTGACAGCGCAAAGAAAGATTTTGTTTGTCTTTGAAAATGGCGACCAACTTTTTTTGAATTGGCTACCACTTTGAAGAATTTAGGAGCCAAGAGGCTATCAGAAAAAAAAGTTAATTTCACGCCCTGTCATCTGAACTTCGTCATATTCTTCAAGAAATAATGCACAAAAAAGTATGTGTGTATATAATGCGTCACTGTATATGTCAATAAGTTTTTTCTATCTAGATTTTCGAACCTGTTTAAGTTGTTATTGTATCGTAATTAAACGTTCTTGAATAGAGTGATTATAATTAGCCCTGTCCTCAAATGTAACGCTCTTTTCTTTCCTATCTGTTGTTTGGTCTTGTTATGCAGCCCGCTCTTTCTGAGAAGGTAACGCGTTGCGTGACCAGACCAGCCGACGACTGCGAAGAAGACTCGAGTGGCTGTCGCCAATTCGAGGAAATAGAGTAATACGGGAACATGCACCTGTAAAAAAAAGCTCCCCGCTCACCAGGCGTGTTTAAACGCCCAGCCCCTCGAAGCCTAATATTTGCTCAGTAATTCTCTCTAGTAGTTGGTGGACATCTCCTTGTAAATTAGAAAAGAGAATTTTATTGCTTAAAAAATTAAAACAAGCTTCTAGCTTTCTTTAATACTAGCAACACAATTCTCGGATTTGTTAGCGTGTGGACATTCTGCATCTTAAACAAGCACACCTACATTGTAAGAACACACAACACCGCAATACTTAGAGCAATATACATACCTCATCACCGCTCACAAGGGAGTAAGCTGTCCCACTTCGACCGGCTCTTGCAACGCGACCTGATAGTATGCGAGGTTTTAACGAGATGGAATCAGAACACTCCTTAAATGTGTATATTGTTGCCTAGCCCCTATAATCCAAGATTTGAAAAGAAATTCTCGGCTTCTCGTAATTTTCTAAACTGGAATTTGGTGTCGCATCACACACTATCCCTCATCTGAGGTTTCTACCTCTACAGTTACCCCATTGAAAATGGATTATTACTGTGAGGATAAATTCTTTTTTGATCACAGAAATCTTTCTTCACCTACCCACTCGATGAATAAAAAGCTTCGGTTTGGCTGGGAAGTTATAGTTAATAACGTTGTCTAACATGGGAATGTCAATTCCTCGAGCCTATAAATTAAAAAGATGACAAATTAAAGAAGAAAAATAAGAGAATACAATGACATAATATACAATCACCCTAAAACGGGTAAATTACTAAGAGATTCAAGAACAATAACAAGGCAAGTAAAAAATACAACGTTAAACCATATACACGAGCTTTCAGCGCTGTTTCAAGCACAACGGCGCAATTTGCGCAGCTTCAAAAGTTTGGCGAAAACTTTCGACTGTTCCAGTTTACAATCCTTGTCGATCTTCTTTATATCTCCTTTATCAACTTATACCATAACTAGTTTGGATCAAAACTTATCTCTTTTGTTGTTTTGTTGTCTTAGCCGGCTATTATCATTAAGTCTCCACATAATCAAACTACGCTTTCAAGGTCAAAGAAATGACTCAAAAACAGGTGCCATTTATGTCCAATCAGGCGAACCTAGGCTATCGCGAGGCGAGCACGAAGATGGAGTCTCGCGTGAGACTCGTCCTTGCGCTCCCCTTTCTCGGGTCTCGTGCTCAGCTCCCTTAAAATAGAACACCCATTCTGCAGGACGTATAAAGATATCACTTTTTTTTTTCCTTTCGATACCAAAGATACTATGTAAAGCTTTTTAACGTAATCTTTACTTACGGCCACGTCGGTAACAACCATCACGTTTGTCTTCTTGTGTTGAAACTTGCCAATGTTGATCTTTCTTGCTGCAAAAGTGACATAATCATAACTCTTGTTATCTCTTGTACGAGCCTTTTTAAAGAACTGCGGTACGGTTTGCACA